ATTAATTACTTTACTTAATAATATTCTGCACTGTAAGCAACATAGGTAAAACCTTAGCGGCTCTACTATTCAAATTAATAATGTAAACTCAGAAGTCAAAGCAGCAACAAATACAGCTGCGGACCTGGTTATATGGCTAAACCTTTCTTTCTAATCAACCTATCATAATAAAACTTGGGATACGCATATATAATCACTAACTGGATGTGACTACCAAATTTTTTGAAAATTCCAAGAACAACGGGAGCTATGGAAAATCGCGGGAACTGTGGGGGGGGGGGGTTGAGGTGCTGCATCGGGAAGAATGAACAAACTTGTCCTTTCTCGGGCGTAGGAGAATCTGGATACCATGTTTGGTTATTGTAGCTCTTATACTTTCTTAGATCCTTGCGTTCATACAGACAGACGGACATACTATATCGACTCGGCTTGTCATCCTGATCAAGAATATATATACTTTGTGGGGTCTGCCACGCCTCCTTCTGTGTGTTACATGTACACTCACACAAAACTAATATACCCTTTTACCCTTTGGGCACAGTATAAAAAGCACAAACTCGTCTTTTCACGGACTTTTGAGAATCTGAATACTAATTTTAGTCATTCTAGCTGTTATTTTTTCTGAGATCCTTTCGTTTATGCGGATAAACAGTCTGACAGGCAAACAGGCATGGTTATATCGATTCGTCTTCTCATACTGCTCAAAACTAAATTTCCTTTTGGGATTTTGTATGTTTTAAACTATAATTTCGATTTCTTTGAAAGAACTTAAGAAATTGTTGATTTTTCCCACAGCTCAAGGCTGTATTGTGCGAAGCTCGGTTGTTGACTCGAACTTAAAATGAAAAGTCCGGTGCCCCGGCTTTGAAATACCTATGTATACATTTAAACAAGAAACAAATGCTAGAATCTAGCACTGTGCATTGTTGTAGACAAAGGGTCAAAGGGTATACATACTATTTTTTGCGAATGTATGTAACACAGGAACGAGGCGTGGAAGACCCTCAAAAGTATCCATGTACATATAGCCATGTCCGTCTGTCTGTCCATCTGTCCGTCTGGAGGGATCTTTGCAAGTACAAAGGCTAAAAAACCCAAACCGCGAAAGCGAATGTTTAACAAACGTCGCTTCCCCCCGCCCTTAGTTTCGCCACCCTAGGCTAGCATGGTATAGAAGCTGAAATTGAAGTAAGGTGTACAAAATCTTTGAATATGTGCTTTTATAGTCTCTGCGATCTGCGTGTTCATAGTACATACTACTACTACTTCACATATTTCTTTACACCTCCTTCGCTTTTTATGGCTTCGATTTGGTCCTTTGCATGAGAAATGCGAATGTGCGCTTTTCTTTTAATTTAACCGAGAAAAAAGGGAATGTAAATATTAAATGTTCTTTTCGTGCTTTGTATGACAGGCTCCGAATGATGTCATTTAACAGCATGAGTTGTACTTCTGCATGTTCTGGAGGAAATGTTTAGAAATCGGACTGGTGCCAAAGATGTTGCTCAGAAGCGGCTCTGGTGACTCGTTAAGCGGTGGCAGAACAACTTTTCTATTCGAACAGCACATGCTGGGGACTTCTTAGTGAACTTCAGAACGTGGTAATGCAAACAAAATTCGTTATTTTGGTAGTCATTATCCTTATTGTAGTGGAACGCTTCCAATTTTAAGTTATATTGTAAATCAAATAATAATGAGCAGAAATAAGCTAGAAAACATATATACATAAATACATACATACATATTTCCATTTTTATATATGCATGTATATATAGATATGTACATTGTTGGGTCTGCCATGCTTCCTTCAGCCTGTTACATTTTCAGCTCCCGCAAACCTAATATACTCTTGTACATTTTATGTACAGAGTATAATCACTTAGGGCTATGCCTGGATGCTGCTGCAGCTGGATTTTTGCCATGGCATATTTTTGATCAGCATGACAAGACGAGTCGATCTAGCCCTGTCTGTCTGTCCGTCCGTATGAACACCTGGATCTCAGAGACTATAAGAGCTGGAGACACCAATTTGCACTTGCACAGTTTGTTTTATTTTTTTGATTTTCCCCCCACTTCCCCCTATGGGGGTTTTCCCGATTTTCCATTCGTATAATCGCCTATATCTCGGAGACTATAAGAGCTAGGGACACCAAATTTTAGTCTCATGTGAATACGCAGAAAATGTATTTCGTGGAATTCCCCTCCACCTCCCCCTCTCACCGTCAAATCGGAATTCCAGTAATTCCTGGGATTTCGAACTTAAATTTTGCAAATACTCCCAGTTAGTGATTATGTTTCTGTATGCCAGGTTTCAATATATAGATAGACCGATTTAACAAGCGCTGCCGCAGCTGTTGTTGATGCTGGGTACTTTGGTTGACTGCAAACATGCTTACACAGACACGAATAGACGCGTATAAACATACATACACTCACATAGATGCAATTGCTTTGTATATGTGCAATTATACACCCTTTACGTGAGTTCGAATGCCGAGAGAGGTAAAATCGATCAAAATTTTTTTTAATTTGTATAAATATTCTAAGCATATGTACAGAGTATTTCAAAGTCGGTACTTTAGCTTTTTTACTTGTTATACAGGAGTATAGTACAAATATACTATGTACAAACATGTATCCATTTGAACTTTTCGATAGCTTTTGCCATAAGAAGCAAGTAGTTATATTTATCGACCATCACTTTATAAACCAAATATTTACATTATAAGCTGTTTATTTGGTATACAAATTTATGTTTTTGTTTCCCAGGAAACTGATATATGCGTCTGTGATGACTTAATCCGGGATGTGGCCATAGCTGAGTACAAATCAAAATTGTAGATATTTTGAAAATAGCATTTGTATAGTGGCTTAAATCAATTCGGATCCTACGAAGGTCTCTCGATGGACTCCCAAGGCGGCTTGCTAGTGCCACTTCAACTCATCCAGTCTGTGCAGTTCATGGGGCTCTTTAAATTACAATTAGTTGCATTAAAATAGAAGCTACATTCCTCATGAAGCGTGCATAAATTATGTGGGGCCAAAGTGCAGGCTTATGCTAAAGCCTGCCCAAAGAACAGACTCAGACATCCACTCAAGCTGTAGGGTTTGTTTGCTAGACAGATTAACGCCAGCAGTTTACTTTTTTGCCACCACAATTATACATAAATGTATGTATGTATGTGTATGCAAGCATGTGCATGAACTCGTACATGCCACAAAACTGTCTCTGCAGCAGCTGCCCCAGCTAACTGCAACGGAAGCAGTTGTCTCATTTGGGGAGGAAATGTCTGCTGATACCAGCCGTGGTACCTTCAGCGCCTCGGCAAAAATGGGCGACTGAGAAGTCATGTTGACTTTGGAGGACACCAAGAAGGTGCAAATGCTGCGATTGCTGCGACTGCTAATGATAATGATGAAAGAGTGTAATCAGATTCTTGGAACGGCGCAGGGCTGATCCGCTTTTGTATGGTTCAATTTTGTTATCCCCAGGTTGCTTGATCTAATCTCGCTCACTTGTCTCTTTGCGCCAAGAATTAAGTACAGTTTTCATTTTAAATGAAGCCTCCCCTCTCTTTTCCTGTCCGCTCACCCCAATACCAGCAACAAGCTGAAGCGCCCAACACAAACACCATTAATCACTACAGCCAAGGAAAAAAAACCAATAGCGTAACATCCCTGCCCCCCACAAAGGGAATTCATCTAGGGCGCATTTTTGGGCAACTTTTGGACGGTTTTCCAGAAAGTAGCGACCAAGACTTTGCCTTAATGACAGGAAAATGGCACCGTACACATGTCAGCCCCCACAAAGCAACAAGGGACTGAGGTAAGGGTAGCTGGGGTGCGAATAACCACCTGTCTGGTGTTTGCTTTCTGGTTAGAAAAATGGTCGCTCAATTTGCGTGAAAAGGCAAATAATTTAAAATTCCCCGGGGTTCTAAAAAGTACATTTAAATTGCTTTTATATATGGGAAGAATTGCTTGTGCCTTTATTTTTTCTTCATTTTTTGGTTTTTCAACAGCTCCAGCAACAACGACATCTACCGTTGCAAGTCCTTGCAGGTTCAACGATTAGTTGTTGTTGTTGTTATTGCTACTGCTGTTATAAATTTGCGTGTCAAAAGTGACGCTCAGTTTTTTTAATGTTTTCCATACGTAACGAAACTTTCAAATGTTAGTTCTTACATATGAATGTGGTACGAGTTTTGTAATATATTGTATGCATGTATGTATATTAACAAACATGTTGGTGTGTAAAAATGTTAGTGTCCTTATCAGCGCTTCAACATTTTTACATGTGTCCTGCTTGAAATATGCGGCGCTGTTTTTCCACGTTCTTAGTCTGGTTTTTGCAGGTTTCCGCTTCGGTCGCTGCTACACTTGATGTCAAGTGTCAAGTGTGGGACAGTTAAAGTTATTTATTATAACGACGATCACACACATGCCACAACGCAGTGGGGAAATTGTAGGAACACCAATGATTTTTTCCTGCTACGTGCACCAAAATTACCAATCATTTAATGTCCACTATGTGAGTTAAATGTAAATTAGAATTACAGTAATGTGTCCGTTGGGTTGCAAGTTGCAACGACGCCCTTCTGCCGTAAAAACACAGTCGAGACGCACCATCCCACGTCACAGCATCTTCAATGGATGAAAATGTGAGCATTATGTCGCCCCTGCAAATTTCCCCGACCACTCTTAGGGTAAAGGGTATAATAACAATAAAGAGATGAACTTACTCAAACGTAACAAGCATTTTAAATAGATTTCCAGAGGCCACTTCGAAACGCCAAAAGTGTCGCATAACTATATTATTTATAATATGGTTACCTGTATTCCAAATTAAATGAAATTTATATTTAACAACTTAATCGAGAGAAATTGTGCATAAATGGCCAATTATATGCTTATGAAAATTAGCTGATGGTTAACACTGAGCTATTTAAGCCGCGACAAAATAATTTCTATTATTATATTTTACTCGGATCTTACCTAAAATGAACGTGTTTATTGTCATTGTGCTGCTAATTCAGCTGCTTCTCAAGGACCAAATTTCGGTAAGTACATACATAGATTATTATTTGTACAAGTACTCATGCCCTCCCAGGCACAAAGTGCCAGCGACTTGGCCGCCTACCGGAAGATGCAGGACGATTGCGCCAAGGAGTTAAAAGTTAGCGCCGACGAAGTCAAGCAGTTAAACAGCGACAAGGGTAGTCCCAGTGAGGCGCTAAAGTGCTATCAAAGCTGTCTGTACAAGAAAATGGGTCTGCTGTCGGCCGACGGAAAGCGCAATGATGAGGCCATACTGAAGTACGCCCAGATGCGCTTCATCGGAACTCCTGTTGACAAGCTTAAGGCACAACTAACCCAGTGCGCAGCCACCAAGGGCGACACAGAATGCGACATGGTGTGGAGTTTTGAGCAGTGCATGCAGAAGGGCTTGAAGGCCTAGAAGGTCTGTCTGAAAATGCAATTTCTCACCGGCTTTCCGACCATGTGATTATATACAACAATTCCTGAAATAATAAACCTATTTTGCAATAATTATGCTCGTTATGCATACAAGTAATTGCATCGGTGGCGGGCGGTTGAATGCATTTAATTATGCAAATTAAAAATAAACATTTTTAAATAACCTGTAATACGAGTTTATGAACATATAACACCTAGTTGTACATATACACTACACCATACTTTTTTGTGCAATGCGGAGTTGAACTAAAGTAATATACAAAACACCAACAACGGCTGTTGAGAGCGTGGATAGAGATAACATTTTTGACTATAAACTCAGAATTGAGCTATAAAAACGGGACCTTGTGTGAAGAGACATGAACATTCCAGGTAGAAATGATCAAATTTGGTAGAATTGGTGAATATAATTAGGAGAGTTCTGAAAAACCAAAAATAGCGGGGTAGTAGGAGTTTACAAACTTTTAATTTCTATGACTAATCGAGCTCTCATACTTCCTGAGATCCTAGCATTTGACAGGTGGGCATGGCTGTATCATGTAATCTTCTCATTCCGATAAAGAATTTATAAGGGGTCTGCCACACATCCTTTGGTGAATTAAAAAATGCAAACACGTTGTGACACACTGTTAGGTCATTTAACTATTAGCTGCTATGTTAAATGATTTATCGTTCTTGCAATTGTCTTGAACTGCTTGCACACTATAATGTCACTTTTGTTTTCGTCGTGGACCATGAGCAATTAGAACCGAGCCCATTGCACACTTTTACAATTACTCACGGGTGTTTTCCACCCAGTTTCTAGACCACAAGTGATTTCTGATCGACGCCGCCGTTAAGGGTGCCCAACATTTTGTTGGGAAAGCGGTTCAAGTTCTATTTGGCTTCGCTAAAGTCATTGGCCTTGATCATAGCTATAAATATCCTCTTTCGTTTGCTGCAACTCTTTCACGCACTGTTGCTTGTATTCATTGGTTAAGCATTCTTTTCTGCCCAATACTTTACTGTACTTGAGTAAATCACTTATCGAAGCCAAGGTTTGGTCAGCAACAGCAATCCATCAATATTAATGTGGCTAGAAGCGTCAATTTTTTTATACGTACTTATATTGTAGCTGCCGACGCTAGGTTATTGTGTTCTAAGCCTGCCCTCATAAAATCCGGTTTCTGATCATCTCAGTCTCGGTTTTTATAAATAGACAATCCAAGCCCAGGGGAATAGCCGTTCTATAGCCGCAGGCTGTGTGCTCTCTGAAGCAAAGTTAATCAGTCTACCGATTTAATTGGGTTTAGGCAGATTCGGAGTCATTCCTCAAGTTTTACAAATTCCATATCTTCTTCGATTGATAATGTTCGATTAATATAATAATTTAAGACTTCAAATTATTTGTTTGTTTTGCGATTTACCTTATTCTCGGTGCTCACATCGCACCACACCATCGTAAGCCGAAATGAAAACTTTGTACTTTTCACGATTTGAACACGCCCAACCAAGATAGATATAAATCTTACCACCGTATTGAAAACTGAGAGTCAGACGAAGATACAAAGATGCGAAGTTGCAGTTAGATGGGCGGCGTTGAGAGAAAGACCTTGGAAAACAGGAAACTTTTTTCATTTGAATCCTATTATTTTAACGTAGTTGTAATCTTATTATCCACGAGATGACAGCAAAATGACATTTAGAAAATTTCACGCTGTGTGAAATGTTGAAAACAAAAAATCAACCAAAAGGAGCTCGGGAATGCAAGACAGTCAGTGAAGCGATGCGGATGGGTGGCTATGACTGCGACTCCAGCCCGACTGTGGTGCTATATTCGTCCCCTCCGCATTGTTCGGCTTGTGTTTTTCACAAGATTTCCACCGCGTGTCTGGCTACCGTTGTCTCCCTTTTAATTTCAATTCTGACATTTGTTTGTCTGCTGTCAAAATAAAGTAGCTTTGGTGCAAAAGAAATAAACCAAAAGATTGCGATTGAAAATTGTTCGCGCATATTTGTCGTTGTTGTTGGAGCGCAGACGCTGATGTTTCTGGCATTGTGGCTGGGTTTGCTGTACAGCATAAAATAATAAAGTAAGCTGGTTTGACTTTTTGTAGACTTTATAATCCTCACGTGGTAATCTTGATTAAATTTCTGGTAGCGGTGGCATTTAATTCAAGATAGTAAATGAAGATTCAATGTTTAATGTTGCTTTCAAAGTACTTTAAATTTAATGTCCAAGAAAATAAACAAATTCATTTTATTCGAATATATGTATTGCGGCTTAAATCGCCTTTTGGCCGAGAGGCGACTCTTCTTTATTAGCCTTTAATGGCCCAAATAATTACCAATGTAACTAGACATAGACGTTTTCGCACACTCGTGCCTGGAATGATCTGCTTCAGCATTCATTATTTATTTTATTTATTTATTACTTCAAAAACAGAATCATCTTCTTTGAAAACCTTTCTTGAAGAGAGAGCGCATTGAAGTAGGCTGCCTTCCAAGCATCAAATTTTATGGAACAGCTATTTACCAGCTAGGTACCAATATTCTTGCGATTGTAGCTATGTATCACTTATTTGCATTATCTTTCCTCCTGCTGCGACTCGAGACTCCTGGCCGATTTGACTATTTCGATGGGACGCCGCAGTTAGTCGCGTCTATAAAAGTGCGACCAAGGATTATGTGTTCTTTGAACAGAAGTGTGACGAATAGACGATATGAGACACAACATGTTGTTCACAGCTTGCCCTGGGGGGTATAAAGGGATGGCGTATTAGGTTTTACGCAAAATAATTGATATGATATATAATATCAGGAAAAATATACAATTGTACTGCATCCACAGACTTATCTATATGAAAAGTTTGGTGTTTCTAGCTAATAAAGTCTCTGAGATCTAGGTGATCATACGGACGGATGGCTGAACAGACAGACATGGTCATTCTTGGTCATCAAGAATTTTTGGTGGGGTCTGCCACGCTTTCTTCTGCCTGTTACATTTTTAAACCCTGTACCCAAAGGGTAAAAGGGTATATTAGTTCTGTGCGAGTGTACATGGAACACACAGAAGGAGGCGTGGCAGACCCCACAAAGTATATATATTCTTGATCAGGATGACAAGCCGAGTCGATATAGCCATGTACGTCTGTCTGTATGAACGCAAGGATCTCAGAGAGTATAAGAGCTAGAATAACCAAACTTGTTATCTAGATTCTCCTGAGCCCGAGAAAGGACGAGTTTCTTCATTTTTTCTGATCCACCCCCCACTCCCCCCTATTCACGATATTCTATTCTATTTAAAATTTGGTAGTCACATTAAGTTAGTGATTAAATATCCGTATACTAAGTTTCATTATGATAGGTTGATCAGAAAGAAAGTTATAGTCATATAACCAGGCCCAATGCACACATACATACATATGTACAAGTACAGAAACACACATAGACACGATTCTGATGTAAATGTATGTATGCATGTATCGAATATTTTATGTTTAATTTAGTTAATTAATTAAATTAAATTAATTAATTAATTTAATTTCTTTTTTTGTGGGGTGGTACAGGGTATTTAAGAGTTGAGCCTGCTCGACTTTAGCATTCCTTTCTTGTTTACTTTTCGCAAACTTACTACATATACATAGTATATATACGAGTATAATAGTTACTCAATAAATAGGCATTGTTTTAGAAGTGGTTTTGCAAGAAGGGGCCACCGAAAGCAAGAAATTTATTTTTATTGTTTAAGAATGGAACATTTATCTACAACAAATTTATAAGAAGTACATTGATAAAGGCTTTAGTATGCTCTTGGTAAAGTTTTCTACACTCAATAATTTTTTTGATTCTCCTCGGAGTGCTTCACACCATCAATTATAACTTCACCGACATCATCGTCATCATTGGAGGTGGGCACCTCATTCTCCTTCATCGCATTGTCTGCTTCGCCTTCTTGCTCAGAAACCTCGCTCCGCTCTAGCACTTCACGAATTCTCTGTTCTGCCTCAAGTGTCTTAAGATGGTTGTAGCATAGATGAAGCTTGTATGCGGCCTCACAACGATTCCTGCTCTGTAGGTCCATGCACTCCCTGATCTCAGGCTTTTCGTGCTCTGCGATATTCTGCACCTGGGTCTTGAACGCGTCCTCCAGCAGCATTTCGTACTTAACAAGGCCCAATTTATCGTAAAGGCAGCGAACGAAGCACTGTAGTGGCTCGTTGTGCTTCAGGTCAAAGAATGACAGCTGCTGGCTTCCTCCGTAGTCCATATTGACCATGTTGTTTCCGTCGCTGCCCCCGTTGCTGGCGCCCATTGCATTGTCGTTGTTATTGTAATCGTTGGATAATAAACTTAGGCGAAAAAGCTTCAGTTGGGACATGGATACATCCGTCTCCCTCATGCACGTCCGCAGCATCTCTTGGCTGAGCTTCGAGGGCACAGAGCTGTTTTTGTCGGCCACCTCAGTGCGGGTTAGCGACATGTTCAGCGACACCGAGAGCGAGCGTGCCTACATAAGTGAGAAAATCATAGTGAGACTTTGCGATGCTGATGGAGAATTAATCAATAAATTGTTGTGTACCCATGCCAGTTGCAGGAAGCTGCTAAGACCCAAAAAGAACAGGACAGTTAGCGACGCCGACGCTCTTAACAATTGTACGCTTTTATACATCAAAACTTCGGCTTTATCGAGGTAGTATTTGGCACGCCAGAACCTTGTGTATAGATACTTTATGTCGAGGCTGCTCAAGCTGGGGGTTTTTATAGCGAACCTTGGCATGGCGGGTGCATAATTATGTGGCTTGATTGCAATTTGATTGTCAAACCTATTGCTGTGATTATTATTTTAATGCTCCTGAACTGATTGTATGGATCAATGATTGGAAATGGTTAAATGCTAGAAACGTATTTTTTTAAATACATGAACTCTGCTTTGGGTTTATATGTATATTGCCTGCCATTATATCGCTATAATACTTATTCACGCTTCAATGCAATGAAAGTCATTTACATGAGATACTTATCGCTACAAAACGGAAAAAATAATGGGTGGCAATACTGAATCGCAATTGCTGGCGACAGCTGATATTTTGCATGACTAATAAGCGAACATTTTTGGAAAATCTGATCTAAAAATAGTCTAAATTGGCATTACAAATATGACAGGATATTAAAAAACAATTTAACGACAGGAACATATTAAAGAAAAGTAGTCTGGAGATTTAGATTGACAAAAAAAAAATCATAAACGAATTAATTCTTATCTGCAGTTAAAGAAGACTTGCGGTAGAAACAAGGGGAGAAGCGTTTCAATTGGGATATAGGACTGTTTGAAAAAAACTTTCAAAATAATTGCGTTATCCTTAAATGTTAAATGTGCGCATCCTTTGATAGAAGTTTTATTTTACAAAACTTTATTCATACAACATTAAACGAGCTATACTGAAAAGCGTCTTTGAAAGAAATACGCGAGTTATCGAATTCAGTAATTGCGGAAGAAGGAACAGGGAGGAAAATGTTCACACATAAGACATCTTTGTGCAAAATTTGGTGTCTCTAGAGATTCATGTGTTCATACGGGAGATAGGGCTAGATCGACTCGTTGTATCATGCTGATCAAAAATATATATACTTTGTTACATTTTTCACCTCCCGAAATATTCCAAATCGAACGTTTTCCTTCTTACAAGTAATTTTTAACGCTATAATTTTTGGCTTGCTAGAGTTACAGTTCGCACAGGATCCTAAATACTTGCAATTCAATAATTTTGTTAATTCTAAAAGAAGCTTGCGGGGATTTTAATGCTTAATTCTTCTTAATGCTTAATTCTTCTTCTTCTTTATAGTTATTTGGCAGACCCCCCAAGAGTATAAATATTCTTGATCAGTATGACAAAACGAGTCGATGTCCGTCTACCCGTCTATTTAACCAAACTTGGTACATAAGTTTCGCTAAGCAGATCAAGCTTTTGTTTTTCAAATGCACCCCAAACTTCCGTGCCATAAGTAACTTTTCATAGCTCCCGAAAATAGCCCAAATTTGCAATTGCTTCCGGTAAGTGCTTATGTATGTGCCCGCAGCTGTTGCTTTTGTTGTTGCTATGGATGAACTCTGTACTGCACAATTGCACGCACACAGACACACACAAACACGATATTAATGTAACTGTATTCTATTAAAACTTTAAGGTGCTATATTCCTTTTGGATGTCCATAAAGGTGTTTCTTTTTAAAAATAAAAAATATGTATTTGTTCAGTATATTATTGACAAAATCGAAAAAGCAAACATTCTCATTATTCATACGACTTCATTCATGTGGCTAGCGCAACTCGCTAACCCAGTTTTCTAAGGCCTAGTTGACGGCTTGGACCGTAAATGGATTGTTCACATAGCACTAAAGAGCCCTCTTTCAAACGGGAAAGAGCTGACACTATCAAAATAAAATATGATTTAAGAAAAATTAATACACAGACCTCTCGTATTAAATTGAATAAAATTGCAAACCGAGCTCAATTCTTCAGAGCTCGATTTTAAGATATTTATACTATGTTGTAGTATATTTATTCTTAAATTACTTATCTCCTGCCTGCACATTTTGAAAGAGTCATTAATGCTGTGCGCAACTTGCAAGGTAACAAACCAAATTGTACGCAATTACGACGTACCCTCCAAATTGCAGTAGCTGTTTCCGTCCGTTGCTCTTCTTCTTCTGATATAAGCAGCATATGTATGTATAGGTTTGTAAATTACATAACTTACGCAAAATCATAATCGCGCTTCTTCACGTATGCTGATGATATTCAGTTTTACTTTTCCTTTTCGAAAAGAAGAGAGTGAAATATTAGTCTTGACTTCCTCTTTAACATAGACACACACCAGCCGGAGAGAGTACAGTAAAATACTATTCCCCCATAAACTTATTTCCACCAACTTTGTTGAACCACCTAATTAATTGGTGAGTCGGCATCTTCGAAAACATCATAAGGGTATATCTTGATGACTGAAGAACTGATAATTGAAGAAGCGGTAATAAGAATGCGAAATTGATTGTTAGATTGCAACGTATCGACAAAGGAAATTTTCTTCATATGTATAGTGTGTATGTACGTCTTTCAAATCAAAGCAATATGTAGCAGCAACTCTGGCACTGACAGAAAAGTAAAAACACGACCAAGTCCATTGGCAGGCTCCATATCCAGCGAAGCTTTTATAAAATTAAATTACACTAATGTGAGAATCGCAGGCGAAGGAAAAGTTCTCGAACCACGGACATCAGCAGGCAGACAACCCGGAGGACAAGCCAAATAGGAAAAGTTGTTTGTTCCGCCCAGTGACTGGCTGTCTTTCTTTTAGTTGAACACAAGACAAAAGCAAGTCAAGCATCAATGTGGCTGTCCCTTTGGCAAATAGGTTGGTGGCTGTGCGGCGAACTCCATGCGTGTTGGTTCCTTTGTCAAGCAACTGCCACCGCAAAATCCAAGAGCTGTCTACTTAAATGCATTATCTGGTCGGGGGAAGCAACATCTATGCCAATGCCTTTTAATAGACATTAGTAAACGCATCAGTGATTATGCCAAGGCTTTTGTGCTGATAAAGCGACAGCGGCGAGTGCAACTGAAACTGACCCTAAATGGAAGTGACGTGACAGCTCGTTGGACACAAACAGGCAGCGAGTGACAAAATGAATTATACGTGTAGAAGCTTGCCAGTGGGCTTAGAGTATGTAAAAACTGGGTGGGCGGTGGATCCCTTGAGCAATTGGCATTTACTTGTAAAACGAGTTCATGCAGCAGCAACCCCCAGTGGCGCAACTAGTGGCGCCCCACCTATTTCTCACTCTCCCTCAGCCAGCTTAAAAGCCGTGTGTTGCATTTGCGCCACGTGTTCAATGAATGTTTAATGATTTGTTAATTGGATTTAGGCTTTTAAAAAACTTGGTTCCTGTCCTCCCATGGGCCCATGCATGCTGGTCATTTGGCACTGCCGTCTTTTGTGGATGCAAACTTCGCCAGCACCAGGCTCATTAATATTTATACACGCATAGAGTGGAAAACCCCTTGGGAGGTCGTTACAAGTTTGTGCCACGCTGACGAGGGTAGTGGCAGCTTTCAGGTGAATTCAAAACGCCAACAATTGCGAGCTAATGATGTTGACTGTTATGCAAATGTCAAAGACAGCCAAATGACTTTAAGTATTTTTATTTATGGAGATAGAAGCAGCTTCACACAGCTTCGATTACAGTTTGCTGCTTATAGCTGTGACTTGTGCTTATAGTAGCATTGAAACAACTGGTAGGCGGTGTCACAAGCGTTCTCTCCTTTAAGTGAATCGCAACTGGCTTGCACCTCCTTGACAGTGGCCTCTCCTTCGATGGGACCCAACTTGGCAAGGACTACGTCCGGCTTAACCTCGCCATCTTGGATGAAGCCGGCTTTAGTCAGGAAACAGTTGGCAAAGCATTTCACCTTAGGATCGGTGTCGGTGAAATCTCCTTTGCGCAATGCCATTGCTTGCTCCTTTGTTATGCCCTCCTGCTTGACGCACTCTGCGGCATGTTCGTGAGCTTTTTGCTTTTGTTCCTCGGAGAGCTTGAGATCCTATATGAAGAGATAGAAATTATTACCCTTGCAGACTAATTAAGGATTCTTAGGCTACTCACATGTGCAGAGGCAAGAGCCACAAACAGAACGGCAATTATTAGTTTCATTCTGGTAGGGTTTATTTGAGCGGTCGTTGCGTCTGAGCTACCTATGTGTTGCGAAGTGTGATCACAAATGACAGTGAGTCGCTCTTTTATATGATATTTCTGGTTCTGATTTGTTGTTTCTGTTTTTATTTGTTTTGCTATTTTGCTTTACTCCATTACCCATATTAATGTATTGTTTGCTCGCTTATTCAGCCGACTGCCTGGTACATGTTTGTCGATTCTAGCCCCTTTACTTTGATCTAGCAACAAAATTCTATCGATAAGCCATAGTCATGATTTCGTTTGTCATTTAACTTGGGGTCAAAGTCCCTTCCCCTTGATGATCGTGCTGCTTTACACAATTTCGCAAATTACACAAGTCGATTCAGATTTATTCGTTCGCCAGACTTTCAAATGCTAATTAGCCTATTAGCTTAGTGGTCTACGTGGCAGTTTGCATTGTTCGATAAAATACTACTATACATTAATTAATGATTTAGCTGTTATTTTCCACAAATTAGATTGCACACTAGGCTGCTCATCATAAATCTGGCTACCTGGCACTATCGGCATGACGCTGCATATTTTAATATCAGACGTGAATGAAAGAGCATTTGGATTTCAGCACTGCTAACACCGATAGTGTTTTGAGAATATTCCAACTAAGTATACATATTTAGTGTACCTCGTAGACCGTCTATTCAGTAATTGCACTTTTGCTGGCTACATTTACATGTGCACTTACTTGCGTGCTCCTTTAAAAAAATTATCTTAAAACCAACAAAAAATTGATTTCTTCAGATATAATGAAATAATGCCAAATGTAAAAAAATAATACATATATATAAAATAAATAATATATAATATGTTGTACTCTGTACACGTATGTATATACATGAAATGTACAAGCGTATTAAGTTTGCGGGAGGTGAAAAATATAACAGGCAGAAGGAGGCGTGGCAGACCTAACACACTATATATATTCTTGATCAGGAAGACAAGACAAGACGTCCGTCTATCTGTAGGATTTCAGAAAGTATAAGAGCTAGAATACCCAAACATGGTATCCAGATTCTCCTAAGTCCGAGAAAGTACGAGTTTGAGTTTTTTTTCGATGCATCCCCCACTCCCCCGCTATTAGTGATTTTCCATAACTGCCGTAATTTCGAACTCAAATTTGGTAATTACATCTACATAGTTAGTGATTATGTGTCCGTATGTTAAGTGTCACCATGATTGGTCAATTCTGAAAAAAGTTATAGTCATAAGTAAAATCGCGGAATGCAGCTCTGCCCGCAGCGGTTGTTGTTGTTGCTGTTTTGGGTCAACTTTGTGCTGCATACATACACGCATATAAACACGCAGAGACACGATTCTGATGTACTTGTAAATCTATTCTATTGAAATTTTCCATAAACACTTATGTATGTATACATGTGTTTAGTATTTAAAATTTAATGTAATTATTTAATTAAAGTAATTAAATTTTTTTAATTTATTTTTTTGTGGAGAGTCAGGGTATTTTACTGTCGGGCTTGCTCGACATCTTGTTTAAACTTTAATTTAAATTTTCCTAATTTTAATAATTTAAATAGTTTCTTTAATTATTCTACACATATGTACAGAGTATTTCAAAGTCGGCACACCCGACTATAGCTTTTTTATATGCTTTTGGGTGAAGATCAGAGTTAAAGCAAAGCGCAACCACAACAGCTGCTGAAAGAGCATGGACGTTGGCCTATCACGATGTACTTGCCTGAAAGTCTGGGACCAAAGCCCAAGAAAGGATAAGGGCCAAGGGTTCTGGTAAATCACTAATAGAGATATAGAAAGAATAACGAGTGCATCGGAAAATACACTAATTTGCTAATTGCTTAGGAGAATATGAATTTTAGGTATAAACTTAAAGTATTTTCTACATTCTAGACAGAAATGTCTATATCGACTGAGCTGCTCATACTTGAGCTACTTTTACACCTTTGTGCAGGGTATATAAATAATATAAGCTCGTGTTGCCAAGCGAGAGTCTGCATACCAAGTTTGGTCAACGTGGCTAGAGACAAGTCTATCTCGACATTCTGAATTCTACTCTTCGCCTTCTGGGTATAAAAATGTCGTGATTAATTATGATACAAGGTGGTTTGAACTCGGTTAATTGTAGCAAGGCATATTGAAGAGTGCATAGTGTCGGCGCAGATGAAGATAACTTAATAGTTCATTTATATTTACAAAGCTTTAAACACACTGCACTCGCTTGGTACATGGCGAGATTTCTTTGTTTATTCATAAGTGAATCCAAACAAAATTTAAATTTACTTTCTTTTGGCACAAATGAATTTGGAAAATTCTCCGTTGCAGTCATACTCCCGCCTTCAGTTTCTTCTTTTACTTTCATCGGCTCTGCAGCAAAAGTGTAAAGTTCTTTACAAAATGCTGCTGTACTACACGTCAAAAGAGTTCTGTATTGTGAGGAAATTGCTACTTAATTGTCATTTGAGAGTTTGATTTCGAATTCTGCTTTTTATCTTGTCCCTGAACGACTGAACGGCAGCATTGTGTGAATGTATTTGGAATGTACAAGTATATAGGAATTATTGACAGTTAATCTCAATATGTAATACGCGTATATTAATCTCTAGAAAATATATTTAAATATTAAACGAGGGACAATTGAGGGAGTTGTATACAAGAGATTATCGTAGTAATTCAGTGAAATAGCTTTCATTTTTAGACCATTTTGCCTGAAATTTGTTAAATATTTGTTAAATACTTTAAAAGCCATAGCTTCGGCAATTTAAGGTACACTAGTAAGTACATTTTTACTAAAAAAAAGGTGGACTATTTGTTCAATCAAAGATATAGTATATAAATACATATATTTATATGCATCAGTAGGTTCGGATACGGAGGCAGTTATTCCAACTTCTACAACCAATTATTTAAAAACGGGTATCAAATTTTATTTTAATAGTTCTGAATGACGTGAGCCAGTGCTATTACCAATATAACACACAATGAGCGCTGTGCAAAGTCCAAAGAGTTCGAGATCATTGCTAAAAGAACCGGTTCCCTGTTAAGCTTATACATATGTATATGATTAATTGTTATAACAAGAATAAACCATTGTGAACTGCATTTGAAATGCATATTACCTAAGTTATTGTTACTAAGTAGTTGCGCTTGCCAGCGATAATAAAGAGATTTATTTACATGCGAATGTTTACATAGTTACAAAATATTTACTGCTGACAGCATCGATAATTCATGACCTTCCAAAACTTTCGAGGGAAACTCGTAAATACAATAACACGCACTCCAATTGCCGACATTTCAACAGTGGTTTAGAACTCAGTTGCGTCTGAACAAAAAAAAAATAATGGCAAATTATAAAATTCAACTTAAAAGAAACGAAAGCCTCATTGTACATTTACAATAATGTCTTTAAACGGCTTCAACAGATTCGGGATATTTTATTAGTCATAGCTTTTTGTCAGCGCTCGTCAATACTCTCCCAAATACTGGGAAGAGTATTTTTCTGACGAGTGCTGACAGCGGCCTATATGACCAATGTGTGAATATTATGTATAAACGATTTACCAGAACTGATCACAAAACTATTAATAAATAGTATAACCATAAAAAAGTTAGACCAAAGTTTTTCCATATTCCGATATTCAATAACTTATCCTTTAGCTACTGAACCACTGTGAGCTGGTGTAAAAATCGTGCCGTAAACGTTGCCTGACAATATTTAAATAATGATAAATTCATAATGTCAAAGTACGTCGTATAAACAGCCTTTTGTCCTTCATAATTTGTTGTCTCTATCGCTGCTATAAGCTCCAAAATTTATATACTATAATAATGCCAAGCACGGAAAGGACCTTCGCCAAACTAACTTAAGTATGTAGCATGATTTGTTGGCAGTCGCAAAAAGTAACGATGGGAAAAGGAGGGTAAGGGGAAGAGCGAAAGGGCGTCCGCTTTATAAACTCATATAAAATTATTTTATCGTCCTGACAGGTGAAGTTGGGTACGCCGTTAATAGCGACATCATGCGCTTTCCCCATGAACACTTAAACTCTTATAAATATATATGTATATATTTTATGTTTCTGCTTCTATTAAATACTATATGTCATGCCATAAAAATATAAACAGCACATAAAACGATAGTAAAAACAACTTCAGTCTTCCACACGTTTGTTATACATACTATATAACGGTGTAATAGTTATACTATATATACATATATACTTGTATAAATGAAACAAAAAAAAAAACTAATAAAATGTCATTGCAAATGTGGGAAAAAGGCAAAGAAGCCACTGGGAAGGCCAACGTCACGCGAAAAACTATTTGAGTCAAACATCAAAATGCTCCGACTTCTTTGCTTAATTCATGGAAATTTGTAGACACATACACATACACTAAGAACTCAAACATCCACAGTTTAGTTACTGCAATTCTACTATTTAATCAATTTAATATTATAACAATATATAACATGAATCATGGTTATATGTAACATACAGAAAGAGGCGTGGCAGACCCCCAAAAGTATACCAAGTTTGGTTATTCTAGCTCTTATACTGCGATCCTCGCGTAAATGCGGACGGACAGACGGACATGGCTATATCGACTCGTCTTGTCATCCTGATCAAGAATATATATACTTTGTGGGGTCCGCCACGCCTCCTTCTGCCTGTTACATTTTTCAGCTTCCGCAAACCTAATATATATTCTTGTAAATAGGTCTGAAGTCGCCGATGCATATTCTCAATATTAAAGTATCCAAATTTGTAAAGTCATTTTGAGTTTTAAACTTGACTTTACTATTACATAATCATAGTAAAGATACATGCATATTTCGCAATAATAGTTGTCCCACCTTTAATTTTAAGCAATATTGGACTTATACATATCTATAATTTGAGATTTATCACCTACAGTAGACTTCAGTAAATCAGAAGATTTATTTCCGTATTTGGAAAATATCGACCGAAAATAGGAAACATATAATGGTCGCGGTTTTACAATATTCCAAAGTATCCCTTTTCAATAGTATTACAATATTTGGAATAACTCTATCACCCGTGGCTATTGAGTGCTTATACTTTAGATATTCTGACCAGGTGATCCATTACACCCCAATAATATGGAATTAATTTTACGCATCATTTTTGTTGCACAATGGTAGATTTCGGCCAAATAGGATCCTTTAGTTAAATTTTGGTAATCATATTCATATACTTATAATACTGTACTGTACAGCTGCTGTACACATCACAGTTGTGGCTTATACTAGAATAATCTTAAAATCTCCTGCTAGACAGACAAACATGGCTGAATCGACTCGTCTTGTTATGCTGATCACTAATATATACATATAGGAGTACGTTTCAGGCACTAGAATAAAATCAATGTGATATTGTGTGTGCGCAAACAATTTTTTATTGTATTCGTGCTATAGGAATTTACGAAATCATTGTTTTTGTCTACGATGTTTCCAAGCTGAACTCGCCTGCACGCCTATTTTACAAAGGACTTGTGGCATACCTCGCACTCAGTCATCTCACCCTCATTATTGGTTGAGTGATCAGCGCCTTTGTCGTCTTTGTCGCCCTTGTCGTCCTTATTGTGTTTACTGTCCTTATCGTCACCGTGGCCGCGTTTCTTATTGATGTCTTTATTCTTGGGTGCCTTCAAGTTCCTCTGCTCACGCTTCTTCTTTCCCTCCTTCTTTGGTCTGGCCTTGCGTGGCAGAGCAATCTTGCTTTCCGGAAACTCAACCAGTTGAGCAAAGTTTTCCACCATTTTATTTGTGATCGTTGGCTTACGGAGAGCTACGACTCTATTCTTCGTGTTGGGAGCTCGACGGGTCTTGAGCGCAGGCGCGCGTCGAGTCAGAGCTTTCGGGCGGCGACGTCGTGCTGGTGCCATCATAGAGTTTACATTGACCTTTACTTTTCTGGACCTCAAATTTGTGATGTTCTTCATGTTTTTTCAAACAAAAAGCCGAAAAAAAAATATTTCAAGTAATTTACTTAGAAAATATATTTGATTTATTTTATTGATGTGCTTGTTAAAGTCTCGAATACGAATGAAAGAAATATGAGTATGGAAACAGAAATATGGTTGAAAACTTTTAAAAAGCGTACATTGTTGAAAAAGTGTTTGTTTTTAGCTGTCAATGTAACAAGCAGGGTTTGTTTGAGCCGTTGCCGGCAGAAGCCGTGGCTAGCGTGGAGCGCTGCCGACAGAAGCAGGGAGTCGTGCGAGCTGGCCTGCAGAAGCTCGTTCGTGTCAGGGAGACATATGTACATACTATATGGGCGATGTGTGAACAAATTATGATGATATGCTTGTGTCTTTTAATATTTTGGCTATATGAAATAAATAGATCATTAACATATGTATGTGAATCTCTGCATGTACCGCAATTAAGGGTGAAAGTATATCAGCGGAAGAATGTGAATCAACTAAACGAATTTTTTTGGGTATGGGAATAGGTAGTTGAGTCCCTTTAAATTAAGCCAAATTTGCAATGGCACGGATTTTTAAAAATAATATCACGTACCACTCTGCAAACGCAGGCAAAACTGCTGGGTCAAGCTAAACTCAAATTTCTTTGAGAATAAGATTTTCGTAAAATCTGGCAAATTTACTATTAGATACTTTTAGCCATAATCCCAAAAGCGTTTATGAAATTTTTGATTTTTGCAAGCTGTTCGTCGACCAAGCATAGCCACCTCAGACATTTTCTTAAGCAGCACCGATACTGAGTATTTTAACAACCAAAATGGATGTCGATGAGGATTCGCCCACTCACTTTCAGCTTTACAATAAGCTGCCGCAGTATGATAAGATGAGGAAAGTAGCTGGAGAATCGCCTACAATGCTGAGATCAAAGATTGCCGGGACCTGGCTATTGGACAACAATAAGCAAAACGTTTAAGCTCTAGTAGGTACTGGATAGCTACAACTACTAGTGCCTTCCTAGAGGATCTACTAGTGCAATCAGTTCTCCAGGCGGTATAGCCACGTGAAGTAGCAGTAACTGGGCTTCAACAGCATGCAGTAGCAGCACTTTGACGTCGACAAATTCCTGCTATGCGTCTTCCACATTAATAACTTCCTTAAGTGGCAGTGTGTGTTCCACCTCAAATATTATGAGCCAAAAAATTGTTCTTCTATAAAAAATGCTCTTTCTACTCCTGAAGTAGGAAAATAATGTCAGAAAGTACTAAGCTGACCGGCCCTAAAGCCTAAACGCAAAGTGGTACAATCGCCCATGCAAAACAGAAAAAAAAGAAGATTGCTTGACTCTTATTTAGAGTCCGGCAACCTCTCCAAAGACGCTCCATCAATTTCCAGTAACCAATTTGCGTTACTGGAGTATCCAGATACAACTGACGCTGAAATCATTCATCGGTACCGCCCCCTATCAACATCGAGGATGTATAGAATGTAATTCTAATGGAGGTTGATCTGAAGTTCAAGTTTTTACCCTACGGTGTGAATGTACACACATGCATATGTACACATCTATGTACATGTACACATCTATGTATGTATGTATGTTTATTCGTCTTGCACTGACAGAGCAAGAAATGGAATTATTGATTGTATCGACGGATTCAACTATCGATAGTTTTGATGCTCTAGCACATAGAGCATCCGACACATGCCCATCTCTAGCATCTCAGCTGATCGCATATTTACAGCGACTTACCGTTTTAGTGTTAGCTAACAACGCTACAAATGTATTCTGAACGAATCTAAGAGTCATTTACCGTTAAGCCTATTTTGTGAGTGTATTCATGCGATTTACAAAAGCAGAAACACACCTTTTACATTCACAACAATCATATTTAGAATTGAAGACACAAATTAGTGTTGAATTAAAAAATTGAATACATACTTATATATGTATGTATGTATGTATATAGGCGGATAACTCCTGCATGAAAAATTTAAATGTATGTATGTATGTACAAATCAGCGTTGACGAACGCTCCAATTTTGGCGGGACGTCCCGATTTATAAATCAAAATTAAATGTCCCGCGTCGGACTTTTCGGGGATAACTCGACCGTGCGTACAACGTGCTGAGGAAGCACACAGTTAAGTCGGGACTGGTTGTACTATATTTGCTATTTGGAAAATTAACTCTTTAAAAAACTTTAGAAAGCGCCGAAAGAAGAATATCATATAGTAAATAAACTTTAATAAACACAAAGTATATAAATTATTGATCAGGATGACAAGACAAGTCGATATAGCTATGTCCGTCTGTCCGTCCATCCGTCTGTCTGTATGAGCGCATCGATCTCAGCAAGTGCAATAGCTAGGATAACCAAACTTGGCATTCAGGTTCCCCTAAGTCAGATCGAGTTTGTGTTTTTTTTCTGATACAACCCCCCCCCCCCCCCACTCCCCAGCAATTCGTGTTTTTCCTAACTCCGGTAATTCTTTGGATTTTAAACTACATTTTGGTAACTACATCCCGTTAGTGAATGTGTGCCAAGTTTCATCATAATATGTCAATTCTGAAGAAAGTTATAGCCATAAATAAAATCGCTCCCCATGCTCTTAGAATACATTTGTAGCGTTGTTAGCTGACGCAACCTATTAACACAAACGGTAAGACGCTTGTAAATAT